CCCCCCCTCTGACCCCTCTTCCAAAACCCACCTAAGAGTCATTTCTTCACCTCTACCAGCTTCACACAGAAAACGCAGATTCTAGGAACACAACACTACGATTGGTTAAAAACAAAACAAACAAACAAAAAATACGGAAAAGGCCATCCAGCAGAGGGAAGTGAGCCTGGATCCTGCAGTGAAGGGTGGTGGCGGGGCGGCGTTCATGCCAGCTCTTTTAACTCCCTGCAGGGTTGCAATTCAAGAAAGGAGGAATAATGGAGACTAAGAGCTGGATTTGTCATCTTTTAAGTCGTACCTGCAAGACAAAGAAATCTTGGTTAAGAACAGAAGAATCCTGCTAGTTCAGATGAGAAGCCTAGGAGGTGGTCTCTCTCCGGCACTAAAGTTCCTACAAAGACTGAACAGAAGATGCCTTTGGGAAGCCCACAAGCAAGTCATGGCCGAGGCAGATCCCTATAATGATCCTGGTTTTATTCTACCTGTGGCTTTGAGACGTTTGGTATCGCAGTTCACAGAATGATTTGTCCAGAGCCTAAGAAATGCCAGGAAGGTTGGAAGACTCTGGGTGCTGTCGTTTACCGAATTAACTTATTTATGCTCTGAGAAAAATCCGTCCAGAAAGCAAAACCTGTTCTGTGGGGATCTGCAAGATGAGAGGAAGTAGGGATCTTGCAGATGAATTCTCAGGCTGGTCAGATTGCAGCAGGGAAGCCAAAGAGGCTGAAGGGAGGGGAGGCAGAATTTGAGGAAGTTGTTTGATTAGATTAGCCTCTGCCTGCCCACTGATTCTGGTATACAACTGCCAGAATCCTACCACTGATTAATACTTGTGTAAGGGAAATCACATAAGTCTTGGCAGCAAACTGCTACTCATTACCAAAATGCTGGACACATTCCCAGGGACACACTATTGTTAACGGATGGAAATTCCCCACCAAGACTTGTGCAATTTCTGTTAGGCAAGCGAAGATCAGCAATAGGATTCTGGCCCGTTAGAGGTAGAAAGGCAGATCCGTTCTGCACACTCCACTTCCCTGTTCCCATCCGTCCCTCCTGTACTCACCACTGGGCAGCACCCTGAGTGAGGTCCTTCTGTGAGAGGTCAATTTGCACCTGGGAAGGACAAAAACGGAGGACATCATTACGGTGCTTCCTTCTCTCCCAAAGGGAGCCCACTTGCTACCAGAGCCGAAACTACGGCAGTGCCCACGCCATGTACCTTCCCAATTGGCTCTCCTCGAGACATGAAAGACACACTGTTTTTGATGTAGGCCTCCAGCTTCCTTCGCTGAGCTTCTTCCAGGGTTATATCCCATTCAAACCTGTTGCAATGTTATTGTATTGATTCAGTTATTTTTGTTTGCATAACAGTCACATAAAAATGGGCACAGCCTCAGGATCTCTCCTGGAGGCAGTGTGCTTCAGAACTTTTAGAAACAAATTAATGAAGGGTAAGTACAGTGGTGCCTCGGATTAACCTTAAGTACAGTGTTCTGGATTAACCTTCGCTATAGCGAAACAATGAAGGGTAAGTACAGTGGTGCCTCGCATAGCGAGGTTAATCCGTTCCGGATTAACCTTCGCTATAGCGAAACATCGCTGAACGGGACAGGGAAAGCCACTGGAACGCATTAAACATCGTTTAATGCGTTCCAAAAGGCTCCTTTACTCACCGTTCAGCGAAGTTTCCTATGGCCAGCAGCTATTTTCGCGCCCTCGGTAAGTGAGGGGAGGGCGCGAAAACGCTGTGTGCGACCATTTTGGGGCTTCCGGCGGCCATTTTGTCCGCTGAACAGCTGATCGTCGGGGCTTCGTTTTGCGAAGATCGGTAAGCGAAATGCTTACCCATCTTCGCAAAGCGAGTTTCACCTATCTAAAAGTCGTTGACCGATCGCATTAGCGATCCCAAAAAAGGGATCGCTATGCGATTTCGTCGTTGTACGGTACGCTCGTTAAGCGAGGCACCACTGTATTGGGGTCATTTAATACTAACTGCCACACAGGACTACAGTATAACACTCCAATTATTATTATTTTTGGAAGCAAACCATCACAACTTAGGGGATGCATGATTGTCCCTTACCATATCAATTCATGATTAGAGTGGAATCATGAAATTGAATGGATGCCAAGGACTTGAAGTATGGGAACAGAATTATTCCCAGCAGCTCAGTCAGTGATCACCCTTATGCTCCTCCTATTCCAACTTCTCTTATTCCCCAAACAAACATTCGCTTACTTTACCACTTTACACAACAGCAGAGATCTAGCAGCGTAGCTTCTGCCCATGTAGGGCTGATGATGCCATCAGCCATAGCTGCACGCTGCCTTGTTTTTCAGAAATCAAACATTCCTGATCTCCCACCCGCCCAAAGATCTGGAGACTTCCCCCTTTGTCATGGGGAAACCGCTGCAGTCGGTGGGAAGGAAACCCTTTAATTTCTAAAAGCACCACTGCCGGGATGAGTTTACCAGATGACTTTATCCGCAGTGGTGATGTTCAGAAATTAAAGACTCCCTCCCACCAGCATCCAACAGCTTTGCCACAACGAAAGGGATCCCGCAGGAGTCTCAGGACCGTCGGGGTGGGGGGGTGGGACGGAATCTGAAATTTCTAGCTTCCCCAAAACTGGTAGGCTGCTGGATTTCAGCCAGTTAAGTCTCTTGCCAAGCTCTCTGTTCCTTCCACCAGCACAAGAGGTTCACATGTGTCTCCCCTGTGCTGTCAGATCCGATGGCGGCTAAAAATGCTCACAGCTGGTCAAGAGGGCTAGCTTTGGCTGCTGAGGATGGGGCAGGTAAAAAAGAAGAAGGAAGGGCTACCGTTTCCTGGCTCAGCCATGCAGTGCAAAAAAAGGAAGCAGCAGCAACTCTGCTGGTTGGGGAAGAAAGCCCCTGAAGGCACTCTGCTTCTCATTTCTTTCTTTAATTCTCTCCACTTACACCCCTCTTTCTACTAATCTCTCTGTTGACCCATTCATTTCCCTCTTTATTTTGTTTCTCCTCTGTTTACTCTATTTTCTCCTCCCTTTCTGCTCCCCGCATTTCCCCCTTGCTTCTTTATGGCTGTCTTCCTTCTTTTATTTCTGTTCTGTTTATTCAGCCCTCTTCTACTCCTTCTCCTCCTCCTGCACTTCTGCCCCGTCCTTTGCTTCTGCCCTTGTCTTTCCTTTCCTACAACCCATCTGCCTATGAGTAATGGCACCCCTTTCTTACTTCTCATTGAATTCAGGATTAACAGTCTTTTTCCTCACAGTCGTCTTCCTCTTGGTGACACGGGATTTGTCAGGCAGCAGGATCATGGAGACATAGGGGTCAGGAATGTCCTTGGCACTTGACTTCAGATTCCTAAAGTGGGGGGTGAAGACAAGCAAGCAAAGGGAATGAAGTCTAGGGCATGATACACAGCTGGGCTCCCCAAATAACCCCACCAGTTAAAAAGCAAATCCCTTTTCTCCCTTACCCACTAATTTGCATATGTGTGTGCATGTGTATTTTTTTTGGGGGGGGGAACCTATTGGAAGCTGGTTCTTCCCATGTTGCACCACCTGAATGCAGGAGCACTCACCCAGCCCTGCAAAAGGCAGGGGTGCCTCAACATCTTGGGTTCAAAGCAGTAGCAAATATAGGGCCAAGGGAAAAACCTGCATGAATCCTCAGCAAAGCTTAACTACGCTTAATGAATTTCCACCAGTGCAGAGAGTCCAATGGGAGAGATTAAGAGGGGCATGCATCAAACAAGAAGCATTTAAAACAAAAACCTTGTGAAGAAAGAAAAATCCATCAAAGCAGAGGGAGCTATCCTGGTTTTCACTCCCCATACCCGAAAAAACTGATGCACCCCATCCTGGGGTCCACACCAAAGCTGTATCTTCGTCACCCCCCCTCCCATTCAACCCTCCTGCTAGTCTGACGGCCTTTACCTGCAGGCGTGGATGATGGCAATCAGCTTGCGTGCATCCATGTTGTACCAGATGGTGAGGTGCAGCTGCCCCAACGGTGAGTCTGACAGCTCTAAATTACTGCAATGTGGGAAGATATATAATTGTAGATTATTGGGTGTGTGTCTGTGTGCTTTTACAACAGCATGTGGGGCTAGGGTGAAGAAAGGGGGGCATTTTAAAATACTGCTTGGTAGCATGTGTAGGTAGGAAAGAAATGGATTGGCTTCAGAGACATTTAAGAAAAAGAGATGGGAACGAAGGCATGGTTCTGAAGAGCTGACTCAGTCGCATGGAAGAGAACTCAAGGCAGGACGGCTTGTTTTCCATGTTGCACTCGCAAATGCAAAGAGTAGTAGTTCAATGACGTGCATAACTGGTGGAGAGAATGTTGTCAGCAATGAGAAGGCGGCTGTGCAGGAACAGCTGCTTCGTCAAAATGGCAATGAGGGCAGATG